CTGCAGAGCGAGAGCGAAGTGCTCTAATAGGGTGATATGGTACTACAAGGTCATTAAGATAAGATGGGGCCTGATTATTTAAGACCTTGTATGTAGGGTCTACCTTACAAGGCACCTTGAGGTGACTGTTGTTGTGTTTTGGCACTACATGTAGACTGACTGGGCTCCCAGTTGGATTTTTGCAAAAACGTGGCGTTCCCACCAGGGAAGAGTTGCTGTCCCAAGTGGAGGAATTGAAGTATCTTGGCGTCTGTGATGGAAAACAAAGGATTGACAGATAGATTGGGGCCATTGTTGCATGTAGTCCTACCTGGAGGAGGCTCAGGGCACGCTGAAGAAATGTCCCTCCAATGGCCCAATAATCCCCTCAGTGTTTCCTGAGAGGAGATAGACGAGGTTTCTGGGGTGAGTTAGGTCTGTGTTTCTCTTGTTAGGCTGCTGTCCTTGAGACATGGTTATTCATGGACGGATGGATACTAAGCTGTCAGTATGTCAGTGTAAGAGGAGTTTGTAGTCAGCCTGCTGTGGTCAGGACTTTTTTTCAATCAGTGCTGGAGGTTTCTGCCAGATATGGAAAACCTGGTGTCTTGAGTTTTAATGTTAGTGAACATTGAGTGATGATTATTTTTGTAAAATTGCGAACCTTGTCTTTATATTTAGTGATTTTGCTGCACATCTCATTGTATTTTTAAAACCTTGTGGAATATGTCATGAAACAAATGAAGCGTAACTTTTTTCCCAGTTTCCTGGTGTCAGTAATCTACTCCAAAGCTAAGCTGGCTTCTGCCTGCGGAGGAATCATCTACTTCCTCAGCTATGTGCCCTACATGTACGTGGCCATTAGGGAGGAGGTGGCTCACGACAAGATCACTGCCTTCGAGAAATGCATTGCTGTAAGACATCACCAATCAAAACTCTTTGAATTTGTGGTGCGTTGGTGAAATGTTCTTTATCTGTTGTGAAATCAGATAATCCACATTGTTTCCTTCTCTTTTAGTCTCTGATGTCCACCACAGCTTTTGGCCTCGGCTCCAAGTATTTTGCTCTATACGAGGTAGCAGGTGTTGGCATTCAGTGGCAGACCATAAGCCAGTCACCTGTGGAAGGCGATGACTTTAACCTCGGCCTCTCCATGATGATGCTCATCATTGATGCTGGCGTGTACGGTGTGCTGACCTGGTACATAGAGGCTGTGCATCCAGGTGTGAAATCCTTTCTCTCTGGTTTCCTCCCAACAAACGTTATTTAGGAATCCTCTGCTGATTCGATTTTCCCTCTCCATTAGGAATGTATGGGCTGCCGCGCCCATGGTACTTCCCACTGCAGAGGTCCTACTGGTCTGGCAGTGGCCGTGTCGAGACCTGGGACTGGCCTTGGTGCGGCGGTGGAGCTGCCCGGCTCAGTGTGATGGAGGAGGATCAGGCTTGTGCGATGGACCACCGGAGGAATGGTAAAAGCCAACAATATGGTGCTCGAGGACAAGATTCTCATCTTCTGTCAATCAGCTTAAAAACACTGTGATACACACCAACTTTAGTAAAAGGATAAATATGATTTATCCATCCATAATATCATAATAATATTAAATATTATTATTTCCTTACACAGGAACCTTTCCAAGTTTGCATGTTTGCAGGATTATGAATTTCCAGATTCCAGTGTGACACACGAGACAGTTCCGTCCAAATTCATGGGCTGCATCCTCCTGAGGCCACATTTGTAGAC